TCTGGCGAATGTCTGACCATCTGGGTTTGTCTCTGCCCGAAAGCTCACCAGGAGCCTATATTAGCGTTGTGACGTGCCTGAGAAGAGTGCTTTGCACATGAATGAAGTACAGTGGTGCCCCGCTTGATGAAGAGAATCCGTTCCATTAAAATCGCTGTTAAGCGATATCGTCGTCAAGCGAAAGAAAGAAAAAAACCACTGAAATGCATTGAAAACCTGTTCAATGCGTTCCAGTGGGCGAAATACTCATCATCCAGTGAAGTTCCTCCATAGGGGAAGCCATTTTCGGTCGCTGTCTTCCAGAAATAGGTCCAGAAAACAGCGGGCGGCCATTTTGAAACCCGGCGATCAGCTGTTTTTGATCGTCGTAATGCGAAGAATCGGTTCCCGAAGCAGGGAACCGATCGTTGTAAAACGGATTTTACCCCTTCAATCATCGTAACAGCGATCGCAAAAACCTCATCGTGAAGCGATTTTGTCGTGGAGCGGGATAATCGTCAAGTGCGGCACCACTGTATGGGGAAAGCCATGGGACAGCGGCAGACCACTTGCTTCGTGTGCAGACCGTCCTGGGCTCAACCCTCAATATGTCTGGATAGGACTAGGAGACCATCCTGCCTCAGATCTTGGAGAAGAGCTGCCGGCCAGCATCACCAGTACAAGACCAGAGGGAATGGTGGTCTTCTTGATATTCGCCCTGTGGTCTCCAGTTCCTGTTTATAGGAGTGGCAACCCCATGTGGTGATAGGTGGCTTCTCACTACTCACCATGAGGAAGTAAGGTTCTTCGATGCTCCCCAAGGTGTGCACAGCATTGGTCGTTACGGAATGAGCGCCGTAGCACCAGACCAAAGAAAACAGCCATGGTTCACTGACCACCCAGAGGTTGATGGTGATGTTGGCTTCTGCATATTTCCTTTGAGGCAAGCACACAAGGCATGCTCTTTAGGTCATTCATAAGGGTGCTGCAAAAATGTCCCACCAAATATTCCCTCCTAAAAATCAAGTCCACATTTTTGGGGGGCCGGGGGGTGGAGGGGGCGGCAGGAAGAGGCCAATTGCTTTTGCCAGTCTAACCTACCGAATATCAATTTCGGGCAGTTTTCGGTAATCCAAGTTGAGTTTCACAATGTTCATCTCCTTGAGCGACTGAATCGACTGGGCCGAGCTTCCAGTCTGCTGGAACTTAGGAGCCTTTCGCAGAATCATGTTCCGATGTGGATTGTACAGCCAGAGGACCTGCGTTTGTAGAAGACCAATGTTCTGGTTTACCATGTTTTTCACTCTGTCTTTCAAGAAAACAGTTTTCAGTGTGGTCCATGGTATACCTTTGATAAATGATGATTAAAAAGGAGACGGAAAGCACTGAAACAAGATTAAAAAGTAGCTTCCTAAGTACTCGATGGACTGTTGTGAATACTAAACAAAAATGCACTTGATTTGGTACCTAAAAGGTACCAAATTTGATGCCCTTCCAATGAATAACGGGAGAAAATTCTGCAGCTGAGATGCCATCACGAAAAGGGGGATACTCCTGGAGTCTCAAAAAATCAGATAAAGACTTTACCCAGATTTAGTAATCTCAGCATTGTTCCATTGCAACCTCTTGAGCTCAGAGAAAAAGAAACACCTTTATCAAACTTATTTTCACGGCCATTCAGTACTGCTACTTTCCCCCTTCTTCTTGTGTTTTTATAGCTTTGCCACCTACTTTCCCCCCACTCTGTTTATTTCCGCTTCAAGAAATCCCCAAACCAAGAAGAATCATAGTCATGATGATGCCGTGACGTTTTGTAGCCAGCTCACAATGGATGTCACCATTGGCTGGGAGTATCCAAGACAGAAATCAGAAATAATGCAGAATCGTGTTGTGAACATTTCCTCCACGGCTTCACAATTGTCCCGGGAAAACGCTATGGCCTGTTTTGATTCTGAAAGGTTATTTTGATGCACTTGAACTTTAGCATAGCAAGCTGCAACTAAAGTGCGCCCATTTCACTCAACTTACTACTAGAGACGGGCATGAACTTCAGTTTGGAGGTTCATGCTGGTTCATATGCGCTGCACCACACGTGCTGGGCATTCCCTCCCCCCTGCCTGCCTCCCCAGACAAGAAACCACTCACCAGTTAGAGCGTGCTTCTCTCCTCCTCCTCTTTGACTGTTTAACCAGTCCCTGGCAGGAACACAGGTTTGCTTGTCCTGCGTCTTTGTCTGAGTAGGCGATCAGCCAAGGAGGCAGGACCGGCAGCCCCATGTGCTCCTGCCGGGGACTGGTTGAACAGTCAAAGAGGAGGAGGAGGAGGAGAGGAGCACGCACTGGCTGGTAGAGCAGGGGATCCAGCCTGGGAGGTGGTGAAAAGGAACACAAGTTGTAGAGATTTTGTAACTTTCCTTACATAATGTCTCTTGTCACAGTCCGTAACAATTATTTTTTAACCGTTTTTGGGTTGTGGAACCCATCGAGAATAATGAGATCTATGGATCTCCTCCTTTGAAAAAATGCATATGGATACATACACACATGCTGTCAATGGGAAATTATTAGCTTGGTGACTATGGCAACAGTACATTATTTAACCCATGCTGTATATGGCTTGCCATCCTCCATTTGTTTTCATTGAAAAAAAATACCATAATCACATGATCTGGCGAAAGGGAAAGTCTTTTCAGAGCTTCCAAAGGAAGAGGAAGGAAATGGAACTTAAAATCGCCTATCTTTTGAGCGCCATTCACAGCTGGCCCCTCCAGGGTCCATGAATGGCACATTAAGAACCATAAAATGAATGCAAGGTGATAAATGGTTATAAAGCCATCCGTTCCTCGTTAAAAGGAAGAGTAGAAATCCTAACCCTTAAAAATCCTACAGGAGGAGTGGAGTTGAGATGAAAGAATCCCTCGTACCAAGTCAGGTCTAATCCTTGCTTCATCTTGAATCACTTGTAACAGCCTGTCAAGATAATTATTCCGGTAAGGATGGTATTTCGGAGGGCGGTAAAGATCAAAGATGATGTATTTATTCTCCTTGTTGGCAAGCTTCAAGAAATCGCTGAACTTGAAAATTTTCTGCCTCCTCGCCCATTTTCGATCGTCAGGTGAGAGCGGGGGCATACCAAAGAACGGCCTTTTCTATTTGAAAAAAAGGGAAAGAGGAAAGAATCATGGCATTTTTTCAGTCAAAATCAATCTTTGGATAAGGCGCTTGAGATGAAAAGGATACGGAATCAAGAGTGCAATTACACAATGAGAAAAATGCACATAGATCCGCCGTGAAGTCACACCAGGAAAGTTGAGTTTCCCTGGGTTTCTTTGCTTCACTCCACCACTCAGGAGTCAGCAGAGAGAAAGGAGGAAACTGGGCCTTAAAAGCCTTGTTTGCAGCTTGTTATGGAAGCTCTGCTCTGCTCTGACTTGTCCAGATTTTCAGGAGGCATGGTTAGATCAGAGCTTTAACCAGGAATGTTGGCAAGCCTTTGGGTCTGAGCCCGAAGTCTGGGTCATCGGGGGGAAAAAAGAGTCCCAAGTTGAGTCACCAGTACGACTTAAGTCCACCTTGACAGCAAGTCTCACAGCTCAAGTCCCCATCCCTGGCTTTAACAAGCTGGAAATAAAGTAGATTCATAATTTCCTCCTCTCTCTGCCAATTCCTCACTGTTTTTCCCCCTTTGGTTACATAGCTGCTGTAGTGCTAGATTAACCAGCCTTTAAAAGGGTAAAAAAAAACGGTAAAAGAGAAACAGAAATGGAAGGGAAGCGGAAAGCAGATCCAGACACCAGATTCGGGAAGGAGAGGATTCAAACAGCAGGCAGTTTCCCTGCTGCCCTGCCTTTTTCATTGCTACTCTATCAGGGTGGAATAGTTTCAAATACAACAGCTACAACACCTCCCCACATCGCCTCAAGCAATCCCACCATCTGAACCGATGCAAATGCATTCAGTTCCCCCCAAAAAGTAGAAGCTCCTGTGGCAAAGGGGAAAGACTATGGATGAGGCGGTCCTAGGACCAGATAGGCGGGGTATAAATAAAATAAAATAAAATAAAATAAATAAATGAGGAGGGGAAAACTCCAGGCTGATTCACAGACTGATTCATATTCATATAGTGAAATGAAAATGATGTAGATCAGACCATCCTATTCACAGGACATATGTTTCCCATATTGTCCTTCAGTATGTCACACCCTAAGGCAGTGGTCCCCAACCTTGGGCTTCCAGAGGTTCTTGGACTTTCAACTCCCAGAAATCCTGGCCAGCAGGGTGGTGGTGAAGGCTTCTGGGAGTTGTAGTTCAAAAACATCTGGAGGTCCAAGGTTGGGGACCACTGCCCTAAGGCACAAGCCTTTGCTTATTTCCCAGTCAGAGTCATTTCACAAAATTCACAACAAAAGTCCTCCAAATGCATTCTGTTTTTAAAATGTACGTTACAGACGACTTCTCCTCAAAAGATTGATATGACATCTCCTTCATCATTTTTTTCAACAGAAGTGTTACAAAACATGGATGAACACTCCAGCTTCTCAGAAGGGTTGATAAAACAAACAGCAGAACACAAAGATTAAGGACAGAAGGAACTCTGTGTGTGTATGTGTGTGTGTTTTGCTGGAAGGAGTTTTCTTTGACCTGACATACTGTAAGTAAATAAGATTTGGCGGGCCCATAATTTGTACGAATTAATAGATCTAGAGAAGGGGCAAATATTTGCAAGGTTACAGCAATGTATTATTTTGCTTCGTTGTTCGAAAGCCACTTGAAAGTTGTAGATTTGGAAAGAAGGGAGGTATCTCTCTGGAGTTCCAGACAACATACCTCAAAGAACCAGTTTCCAGAATTCAGCTTCTCGAGGTATTCCCACGGAAACATGGCAGCCTCTTCAGTCAGATATGCAGGATACAAATCTTCAACGTTGGTGGTTCTTTTTAAAGTCTTGTCGTGCATAAGAAAGGGGACGCCATCAAAGCTGCCAAACGGAAGAGCAACAACTTTACAAAGTTGCTCAGAATTCCTCATTAAACTTCGACAGGCCTTCTCGGATCTTATAACAACATGATAAATAGTACCTCAATATCTTTACATCTAACCTACCGCCATGTTTTTATTCTTACTTTAGTTTATTTTCATTTTATTTTATCCCATGATGTTTCACGGTGTACTTTATTGTTACTTCTTTTGCATTCCTTACATTTTATTTGGTAACGGTCGCATACTTTCATTTATTCTGTCATTGTTATTGTTCACCTTGTTGTAAACCCCCCAGAGTTGCCTTGGCTGCCAGATGGGTGTCCCCCCAGAGTCGTCTTGGCTGCCAGATGGGTGGTACAAAAATCGAATAAGTAAGTAAGGTTGTGTGTGTGACCATACAACTAGATGTTTATCCAAACATATGGTCAACACCTTGTTCGTCGTTGTTTAGTCGTTTAGTCATGTCCGACTCTTCGTAACACCTTGTTAATGACTGGTAATTTGCCACCATAACATGCACAGTTTCCATTATGGAAATGTACGGGACCAAAATGATTCTGGCAACTCTGAATCCCAGTTCTCTGGGTGGTTTAAAAAAATATGTGCACTGTAATTTATAGGATTCTTTTTAAAATAAACAGCATTAGGAAAAAACAACAACTGTAACTGTAATAATAATAATAAAAAACCCCAGAGTGTTTTTTTAAATCTGAAAAGACTGAGAATTTTTTTTAAAAAGGCCAGACAAGCTCGTTTGAGTTAGGAATCACACTGTGAATTGGGTCTCCTCTGAACACAATGTAGCCATTCAGATGTGAACTCACAAGGAGTAAATTAGAAGTCATCGGGCTGAACTTCCCCTTGACTCCTTCCACTAAGGGGATCAAGGGGAGGGGGGGCAAAATGAAGATATTACTCTTGCTGCTCCTCTCGGTGGGTGCTGGTTATCAGAGATGCCGGTAAAGATAAAGAATCTAAGCATTTTCCACCTACTGTAGCTTGCCCTTATCCACACACTGCCCCCGAGATTGTGATGAAATTGCTAAATAATATGAGAAATGCTCTGGGACTGGGATGGTCAGATTTGTATTTTTTCCCCTTTACTACACGGTGTACAAGTCAATATGAGTCAGCCTGGAGTTTCTTCTTAATCCATACTTTTTCCCCTCTGCCATTGGGGGCTTTTCCTTTTTTTGGAAATTGAATGCATTTGCATCTGTTCAAGCTGTGCAGTCACTTGAGTCGATGCAGCTTCCGTTTGGTTCTCCCAGCTTCCTAGTTCTAGGTGGGAAGAGAAAAGGCAACGGAGCAATTGTGGAGGTGCCAGTTTCCCTCAATTGAGCATCCCTTGTCTCCAAACTATTTGTTTGTTTGTTTAAAGGCTTAGTGACAACACTGATACACCTAGAAGAGACCCCCCCAAAAAACAAAGCAAAGCAAAGCAAAGCGTGCTCTTTTTTTTGGAAATTGAATGCAAATCTGGAGGGTTTCAGTACAGCTGCCTTAATAAGGTGCCATCAAGTGTTGACCGGCAATTTCCTCCTCTCTGTCTACTGACTCCTGTGGGGTTGGCTAAAGTGATTTCACTCAGGAAAATCCAACTTTCCAGATACAAGTTCACAGCAAATCACTGCCTCTTTCCTGTGGCATAGTTGCACCTTGAAACATCATGGTTTCAAGAGACTAGAAAAAATTATATGCAAGCAAAGATTTGGCTTGAAGGATGACTACCCCATAGCGCTTCAAGCACTCTCTGGGCGGTTTACAAGTTAATTACGCAGGCAACACATTGCCGCCGCCCCCAGCAAGCTGGGTACTCATTTTACCGACCTTGGAAGGATAGAAGGCTGAGTCTACCTTGAGCCGGCTACCTGGGATTGAACCCCAGGTCGTGAGCACAGTTTTGGCTGCAGTACAGTGCTTTAACCACTGCAAGCAAGGAAGAAATCATCAGAGAGGAGGAAATTGCCAGCCAGTCCTTGTTCATAGGTTATTAAGGTAACCCTACAGTAGCCATACCCCCTAAAAATCTGGAGGGTTGCAGTACAGCTGCCTTAATAAGGTGCCAACAAGTGTTGACCTGCAATTTCCTCCTCTCTGTCTACTGACTCCTGTGGGGTTGGCTAAAGTGATTTCACTCAGGAAAATCCAACTTTCCAGATACAAGTTCACAGCAAATCACTGCCTCTTTCCTGTGGCATAGTTGCACCTTGAAACATCATGGTTTCAAGAGACTAGAAAAAATTATATGCAAGCAAAGATTTGGCTTGAAGGATGACTAGCACATCCGTCCTAGTCCAGGTGCGATAAAGAAAGTTTTGAGAGAAGAAAACCAGGTGATAGCTGGGCAGAAAGTGTAGGAGGTATGGCTGCCTGCCTTGTGGTGAGCACCATTGTGTTTTCGTGCAGAATTGTGGTCTCTTTGGCTCTATACATTCTAGTGCAATAAGGGGAGCTAGGAAGCGTGGTTTTGCCTTGTTTTACCCTCATCCCCTCCAAAATCTTAGCTAAAATCTCTCACGAAAGAACCTTTGGCTCGTCCACATTTGAGACAAAGGGTAAGCAAGGAAAAACATCAACAAATGCTTAAGAGAATAGCTTTAGCTGTCACTGATAGAAAGGCTTACAAAACATTGTGAATAGTTCTAGCTGTACAGAATGCAGATTGGTTATCCCGTAAAATACACATAAAGCATTTTAAGATACGACCACACAACGATGCGTCTCAAGTTGATGCAAAATTGTCTATATTACACCCTAGCATCTAAATGGTTGCCATAGTTCACACAGAAATATTTAACTATCCGTGGAAGGTGCATTCACACCCTCTCTTCTCCATCATCCTTCGCTACCTTTATTACCACCCTCTTACGCACCTCTTGTGCCAGCATTCAAATCTCTTCGTTGAAACATTTTAACGTGTGATTCATGAAAGCTGAAAACTCCGCAAAACCGTGATGTGTTAAAAATTACAAAGGGAAACTCTGTATGCTGCTGGGTTTTTTTCTGTCATATCTATAATTTTAAAAAAAAAACCCTATATTTTCATGGTTTGGTCAGCAGAAGGTTCTTACCTGATTGTGACATCGGTCTCAAAACCAGACGCACCATACTCAATGGTTTTAAGAAAGGACATTTCTGTATTTTCAGGAGCCACCTATTGTGAAAAAAGATAGAGAGGGCATAACGGTTTGACAAAAATCCTGATGTCTGAGCTAAATTTCATGTGCAATTGCTTGTACCTCTCTCTCTCTCTCTCTCTCTCTCTCTCTCTCTCTCTCTCTGTTTGTTAATGTTAGATAGCAAATATGGAACTGGTTGATCAAGATTACACCCACAATACCTGGAGAAGGGGGTGCAAACCCTTTTCTCCCTTGCTGTCTAAATATCACCACAATAACATCCAACACAGTAGAGAGGGCACAGTTTGTGGCGTGGGTTCCTTGGGACCTGAATATACGCATCCTTCAGTCTCGAGAGACTATGGTAATGCCCTCTGAATGGAGAACTTGGAACAGTGTCTAGTGTGGCTGAGAAGGCCAATTCCAGAGTGACAATCCCTTCCACACTGAAGACAAATCCAATCTGTTTCCTGTCCAGCTCCCTGATTTGGCTGCTTTCAGGACTGCCTCTTTGCCTCGGCCTGCTGGACAAGGGTCTCTTCAAATTGGGAGAGGCCGTGATGCACCGCCTGCCTCCAGGCTGAATGCTCAGAGGTCAGGGCTTCCCATCTGTTGAGGTCCATTCCTAAGGCCTTCAGATCCCGCTTGCAGATTTCCTTGTGTCACACATGTGGTCTCCCTCTGAGGTGATTTCCCTGCACTCATTCTCCACACAGGAGATCTTTTGGAATCTGACCATCAGCCATTCTCGCGACATGGGACCTAGCCATAAGAGATAAGGAATTGTGCCCAGTCCTGGTGGGAACTTCTATCACTCCATTTAAAAAAATGGTCAAGACTTCCCAACCGTGGGTCTCCACATGTTCTGGGACTGCAACTCCCAGAAATCCTGGCCAGCGCAGCTAGAGGTGAAAGTTTCTGGGAGTTTTAGACCAAGAACATCAGGGGACCCAAGGGACAGAACGACACAAAAATCCAGACACATGCAGTGTCATCCCATATCTGACACATGAACCCCCAGTGGATCCATTCACATTAGTTTAAGCGGTGTGGATGATTGAACCAATGCAGAAAAGGGTATGCTGTGTTTGCTATCTGGGGACACACGTAAAGGATGGATGGATCTTTGCAAATAATGACTTTTTTTAAAATAACAACGGCTTGGCTTTTGCATTAGGCACCATCAAATTGGGAGAGGCCGTGATGCACCGCCTGCCTCCAGGCTGAACGCTCAGAGGTCAGGGCTTCTCATCTGTGGAGGTCCATTCCTGAGGCCTTCAATTCCTGCTTGCAGATGTCCTTGTATCACAGCTGTGGTCTCCCTCTGAGGCAATTTCCCTCCACTCATTCTCCATCCAGGAGATCTTTTGGAATCTGACCATCAGCCATTCTCACAACATGGGACTTAGCCATAAGAGATAAGGGATTATGCCCAGTCCTGGTGGGAACTTCTAAGGCTCCATTTAAAAAATGGTCAAGACTTCCCAACCATGGGTCTCCACATGTTCTGGGACTACAACTCCCAGAAATCCCGGCCAGCGCAGCTAGAGGTGAAAGTTTCTGGGAGTTTTAGACCAAGAACATCAGGGGACCCAAGGGACAGAACGACACAAAAATCCAGACACATGCAGTGTCATCCCATATCTGACACATGAACCCCCAGTGGATCCATTCACATTAGTTTAAGCGGTGTGGATGATTGAACCAATGCAGAAAAGTGTATGCTGTGTTTGCTAGCTAGAAACACACGTAAGCTGGGATGGATGGAGCTTTGCAAATAATGACTTTTTAAAAATAACAACGGCTTGGCTTTTGCATTAGGCACCAAGGAAGGAAGGAAGGAAGGAAGGAAGGAAGGAAGGAAGGAAGGAAGGAAGGAATGCTCTCAGCATCTGTAGTGATCATGGAGCCCAAGAAAGTAAAATCTGTCATTGCCTCCATATCTTCCCCTTCTATTTGCCAAGAGGTGACAGTTTAGTCAGGTAGTTCTCCTGGAATTATGCCTCATGAAGGGCTTTAGAAGCTACATTAACAAGCTGTAAACAAGGCTATTTAGCCAATTTCCTCTGTCCCTGTCTGGTCACAATGCAAGCAGACCTGGATTTCCTGGTGCAGCTTTTCATGAATGAATTTGCATTCATCTTGCCGTGTAGTCAAACCGTAATCAGATAGCACAAGGTTGAAGACACTTCCTAGTGCAAGAGTAATCCTCAGCTTTGTCCCCCCTCCCCCTCCAGTTCAACCTACCATTGGTGCTCCCCTGTGGCCAATTAGGGCTGGTTTGGGCCCCAAAGTGCCTTTCTCTCGGATGCAAGGCGAGTACATTCCCATGGGAATGAAGAAAAGAAAGATGAGGATAGCCAGGTAGGGGCTGAGGATCAACATCTGCAAAACTGAATGAGATAAGAGTCGTTAAGTACCTTGCGCTCAGGGAACGACTAGTCTGGCATACTAAAATGTGAATTCCAATTAGGAATAGAAGGATAAGCATGTATTCAGACTGCATTTCATCTTGCATTTTTGACTGCTTTCGGCACGGCCAGCGTCAATCTATTCTCTGGCAATTACATGGTGTAATGGTAATTGTGAACAGATCCACTATTTTCCATGGTTCTCCACACCTTTTGGCATCGCTGGCTGGGGCTACTGGGTTTTTATTAGAGCAAGTAAGATTGCTCCCTTTTAGCTTGGTTTCCAGCATGTGTGATCACTCGCATCAAATCGCAGCAACGGCAGCAGAGATTTCCTCCAACAATCCAGCGCTATGTCATTTGGGTGACAAGCCAAAGAAAGGACATATCACCAATAAATAGAAAGGGGGAGGGGGAAATCAGCTGCCGCAATGGTATTACAATGTCTTTCTCTTTTTATTTGTCTTTTGTTTTTACCTGATATAATTACATTTTCATCTTGTTTCATCTTTGGACTTTTTCATCATAGGGTTTCATCACTTGGAGGATATTTGGGAGGTCTTTCATTCCTAGGTTCTCCGTATGTCGGTGGTGACTTTACAGCACATCACAACAATTATTAAACCTTAACAAATTATTTCCGAGTCCTGAACTGGAGATATTATGGGTTGAATCTGGGAATGGCTGAATGCAAAGCAGGGGCTCTGCTATCCACTGAACTGTGGTTGCTATCTCATCACATTCCTGTCAAACCTTTAGCACAGGTTTATGCATACATCCTCCCCTTTACTTAACGGTAGTTAAGTATGTAGGTAAAAGTAAAGGTAAAGGTTCCCCTTGACATTTAATCCAGTCGTGTCCAACTCTATGGCGTGGTGCTCATCCCCATCTCCAAGCCATAGAGCCAGCGTTTTGTCCGAGGACAGTTTCCGTGGTCACGTGGCTGGAATGACTAGACACAGAACACCGTTACCTTCCCACCAAGGTGGTACTTATTTATCTACTTGCATTTGCACGCTTTCGAACTGCTAGGTTGGCAGAAGCTGGGACAAGCGACGGGAGCTCACCCCATCCTGTGGGTTCGATCTTACGACTGCTGGCCTTCTGACCCTGCAGCATAGAAGCTTCTGTGGTTTAACCCACAGCACCACCACGTCTCCCTAAGTACATAGGTAGTTACCTTTTTATCCAACCCCATGAAATAGATTAAGCTGAGAAAGAGCAATGGGCCAAAGGTGAGCTCATGAGCTTTATGGCTAAGGGAGAATTTGAATCTGCATCTCTTGTCTCTTAGTCCAGTACTCTCACCACTACCCCATGTTGGGTCTCATTTCTTGCCGAGGAGGTGACCTTAATTTGGGACTTAGCTTTGTAAAATGGCTTAAGAGTCTGACTACGGGGCAGTTGCTCTACCTGCTAATTGATGGTCTTGTTGATAACTAGAGTTTATTGTTACCTCTGTTTTCCATCCGGAAGAAATGTAAGGCCACTGGCCAAGCCAGGAGGGTCATGGTGAATATGGCACCCATGTGGAGAAATGGAGCTGTGATCTGTTCAGATACAAAAGGAGCCCATGAAAACCTTTTTCAAATAAAAAAAAAACTAAGATAACTTTAGGTATCAAGTTGAAAGGTACATACAGAAGAGGGGCAGGATTTGTTCTCAGTCCTCCCGGAGTGCAGGGCACGTGGTAATGGGCTCAAGTGACAGCAAACCAGATTTCGGCTGACTATCAGGAAAAACCTCCTAACTGTTAGAGTAGTACAACAATGGAACCAATTGCCTTGGGAGGTGGCGAGCTGCTCTAATGCTGAAGGCATTCAAGAGAAAATGGCACAGCCATCTGTCTGATATAATCCGATCTGGATTCCTGCTCTGACTTGGACTTGATGGCCTTATATGCTCCTCTCAACCCAATTGCTCTGTGGTTCTATGATTCTAAGTTGTCGGTCTTTGAAAGTTATGACAAAGTTGTCACAGGAGACGTGTGTGTGTTTAGTCGTTTAGTCGTGTCCGACTCTTCGTGACCCCATGGACCAGAGCACGCCAGGCCCTCCTGTCTTCTACTGCCTCCCGGAGTTGTGTCAGGTTCATGTTGGTTGCTTCGCAGACACTGTCCAGCCATCTCATCCTCAGTCGTCCCCTTCTCCTCTTGCCATCACACCTTCCTAACATCAAGGTTTTTTCCAAGGACTCTTTTCTTCTCATGAGATGGCCAAAGTACTGGAGCCTCAGCTTCAAGATCTGTCCTTCAAGTGAGCATTCAGGGTTGATTTCCTTTAGAACTGATAGGTTTGTTCTCCTTGCAGTCCAGGGGATTCTCAAGAGCCTCCTCCAGCACCACAGGAGTGGAGGCTCACAGGAGACATACCGTATGTATTATAAACATGAATGCATGAGGGTGCCAAGATTTCTATGACTCCCTCTTTCCATGTGTAAAAGGATTCTCACAAAAGGTACTTGGCTATGTGAGAAAAGTCCTTTATAACATGCTGAGGAATGAAATGCCATAGTTTAGTACAGTACTTACTTTGAATACCAGCATTGTAAGGCTGGGATGTCAAACTAGTTCTATTTGCTCAGATTTGAGCCCCAGCTCCAGTTCCACCAACTGTATTGACCAATTACACATGCAAAGAATTTATTTATTTATTTATTTATTTATTTATTTATTTATTTATTTATTTATTTATTTATTTATTTATTTATTTATTTATTTATTTATTTATTTATTTTATTAGATTTATACCCCGCCTATCTAGACAGATAATCTACACTGGGCGGCAATAGGAGCATAATTTGAGTAAATATCTGCTATTTCATTTTTCATTTTCTTTATAACACAAATGATGCCTTTCGGGACAAAGCCCTCCTCTGAAAGTGGCTAACAGGCATAAGAAGGAACATACTGAGAAGAGAAAGCCAGAGGGAACCAGAAAAAAATGGAGTGAAAAATGTAAATGTAATACATCAACCTCAGTCACCCAGACGGAATGAAACACAACAGAAAGGGTAGACACTGTCATTTGGTTGGAAGCGTGTGTCAATAAATCATTGCATCCTCTCCTCTAAACAACACTGCAGCAAAAATTGGGATAAATACTCCAAACTATCCCAAACACTACACCAGAACACAGACAGAGTTCTAGCTCCCATCTTCTGAAGATGCCGGCCACAGAGACTGGTGAAACATTAGGAAGAAAACATTAGGTCCAACAGCCCGAAAAACCTACAATAACCACTCCCTCTTCGATTGCTCAATCTTTTGGGGAATCGGTAATTCTAGAACCGTCAACTGTTTTGAGAAGCAAATGTTAAAGATCCTAAATTGTCTTTATTAAGCCTCTTTTTGAGGGAAATTACTTCTCAGGTTCCTTATTGTTGCCACATTGTCTGTAGTAGCCTAGATCTTAAATCATAAGCCCTGGGACATGAGCCAATTCCTGACAAGTCATGGTGGTTATAAGGAATCTTCAGGGTATGTAAACAATATACCTCTGTATACCAGACACTTGAGAAGAGAAGGCTCCCTGGGAAAGATCCTGATGTTGGGAATGTGTGAAGGCAAGAGGAGAAGGGGACGACAGAGGATGAGATGGATGGACAGTGTCATCATGAAGCTACCAACATGACTTTGACCCAACTCCGGGAGGCAGTGGAAGACAGGAGGGCCTGGCATGCTCTGGTCCGTGGGGTCACGAAGAGTCGGACACGACTTAACGACTAAACAACAACATGCCAGACACTGGACAGCTTGATTTAATGCTATTTATTCCCACTTTTCTCCCACAAATGGAATAAGACAATTCCTTTCACAGTCTGCAGACAACATGGAGACGTTCTGCTTTTCTACCTCCACCCTTTTCCCCATCTAGCAAATTTGATTCCCTTCATTGTCTGCAACACAATAAAATAAAAAAAAGAGTGTGATAACATTTCGAAGTATAGGAATGGCTCCCACGGACATTTGTGAAACAAAACCTTTGTCATTTATCAGCATTTTCTTACCTGAAATGATAGGTAGAACGTATTCCATTGCCGTCTCCAGAAAAGCGTTATCAAGGTTAAACCGATAGCAGAGATGAATAGGAAAAAAAACATCGCCGTCTAAAAGGTCAAATATTATCCAATTATTAATTCTGCCTGCCCAAAGATCCTGAGCAGGAGTTGGCCAACTCTAGGCTACAGGCTGGCTGGCAGTGTTGATGGTCCCTAGCACCTCTTGGCACGTCTTTTAAATATTTGTATACTTATTGTTTTAGCTTTAATATTGTCTTTCATTGAAGTAAGCTGCCACTTTATACCCATTGTTCTTAGTTTGAAATATTGTCTTTTAATGATGTAAGCCACCATGGGCCCTTTTTCTAGGAGAAACGTGGGGTAAAAAATCAATCAATCAATCAATCAATCAATCAATCAATCAATCAATCAATCAATCAATCAATCAATCAATCAATCGTTGGCTCAAAAAGTTCTCTTATGCCATTTAGGGGGCATGGGAGAGGGGGCAATCTTACCATGTTTTAGAGACACCAACGCTTATAGCCCAGTTCTCATAGACTGCTAATTCTACCCCTGCCCCCAGTTTTCTGCACTCTAGTTAAGAGACAAAAACTGTTGTAGCCTGAATTTTTCCATTAAGGTCTAGATGAGAATAGCGATGCTCTAATGATACTGAAAACCAGCCCTCCCCTTGGGGGGGGGGGCATATGGCCTCCAGTGAGAATAGCTGCCCAACCTAGAGGGTCACTAAAGTCTTCTTCCAAAAACTCTCTGACTGCCACGATTGACCATTTAACCAATTATTCTCTCTTTGTACAAAAATGAATTTTAGGCTTTTAAAAGATACAGGGGAGTGAGAACAGCCAGCAAATGGCCAGTGGTACCCCAAAGTTGGCCGTTTTCAGATTAAGGTTGTTGAGATGCAGCTGCAAAGGTGAAATTTGGGTGCTCGAATTTGCAAAGTTCCGTTATCTCTCTAAACTTTGCTCTCTCTGTATCTTTCATTGGTTTAATTTTCTCGGCTTCCAACTTGTCTTTCCTCCTTTCTTCCTCACTTTGTTATTATACTTACTGTGTTTCCCCGAAAATAAGACAGGGTCTGATATTAATTTTTGCTCCAAAAAATGCATTAGGGCTTATTTTCAGGGGATGTTTTATTTTACAATCATATCTTCTTCTGGTTGCTGCACAAGGGTGGAGGGTGGGGTTTCACTTAACTGGGGTTTATTTGGGGGTTTAGGTCTTCTTTTCGGGAAACAGGGTATTTCTCTATGTCTGCAGGGGGGTTAGGTCTTCTTTTCGGGGAAACAGGGCATTTCTCTATGTCTGCATATTCCTTTACCTCTTTCTTGATAATTTCCCTTCCATTAGCTTCTGACAAAACATTAACTGAGTTTTTAAAGGAAGGAAAGTAGATGAAATATTCTTACCTTGTGACACCAGTGTAGGTATAACTGCTGACTTTCCAGTAATAGACACAACGCTACGATCTATAAAGGTATGAACCAAGTAAACCATGACTTAACTTAGGCTGCAATTACAGGATTTGATCCACTTAAAATAGGTGAAATTGAAGTATTTTTTAAACTGACCACATGACACAAGGGCTGATTCGCATAGGTCCAGCCGTTTCTGCTCCCCGAATGGATTTTTTTTTCCTGCTAGTGAGGGCCTTCTACATTTTCAAGCATGAATGATTCAAACAGGCTTTTTCCTAGTTATAATATGTTCTTGTAAATATGGAGGGTGTGTCTGTAGGTGGTGTTTCAGTAACATGGGCAGTTGGGGCATGGGGCTGAAAGTGAGAATCGCTTTCAGCACTTAAGGAATTCCTTCTTCAAAGGACAGGCGGTCTGTAATATCTATTTCATATATCAGTTTACTATTAGAAGGAGAGAGATTCTTTCATTTGCTCCTCCACCTTGTGACCCAGATTTTTTTTTATATTATTGGAAAATAATGGGTGCAAATGCAGCAAACCAACAGCTGGGACTTGAATCTGGGTCATTCTGCACACCAGGTTTGTGCTCTGACAATGGGCTGTGATGATCCATTCACACGCAGATGGTGTCCCTTATCCGAGTTACACAGCATTAGCTCCAAACCTTAATTGAAATTTGGGCTGCTGTCTTCCTAATCAAATGAGTAGGTCTCTCAATTAACAGTTGCACTTACCAGTAAGAGCAAAATGTAGGAGAAGAAGAAGCTGGCCAGAAATAGGAGGAACGTGGACCACTGAAACCAGAAGCCTAAATTTCCATAGGCAAACCTAAAAATATAGCACAAACCAGTCAAACCTAGGAAAATTAGGGGAGGGACAGATATAACAAACACTTGTTTGCATTTCTTCAGCCTTAGTGTGAAAGAGTATAGTAATATGTCAATGCCACTAGCTTGGAGAACCCTTATAGACACTGCACAGTGATATGGCAATGAAATGATAGACCAAGAATTTGGAATTTTCATTGCTAATCGTTGCAGATAAAAAAAAATCTTTATGAATGCTGCTCCCTATAGAATGAGCTTTGGATGTGATATGCTGCTACATCAGGGACGTAGCTCATCTCAACAATTATTTATTTGCTGCATTATTATAAGGAGGGGATGGTATTCTTGCTGTGCGGAGGCATTTAAAAGCCATGGCTTCACTTTTCTCAATGAGGAATCCTGGTTAAAATCCCAGGTTTCCCAGCACAAAAGGTGAGCAACACTGTCTTGAACTATTGATTTGCTGCTACTTGAGCTGACAGACATAGCACTCTGAGCCTAAACAGTGCTATGAGTACTGTTGCATTTATGGCAATATTTTTTTAGGCATCCTTCAGTCTTGAGAGACGATGGTCACATGCTCTGTATGGAGAACTTGGAACAGCGCCTAGTGTGGCTGAGAAGGCCAATTTGAGAGTGACCATCCCTTCCACACTGAATACAAATATAATCTGTCCCCTGTCCAGCTCCCTGATTTGGCTGCTTGTGTGACTGCCTCTTTGCCGCGGCCTGCTGGACAAGGGTCTCTGCAAACTGGGAGAGGCCGTGATGCCCCGCCTGCCTCCAGGCTGAACGCTCAGATGTCAGGGTTTCCCATCTGTTGAGGTCCATTCCTAAGGCCTTCAGATCCCGCTTGCAGATGTCCTTGTATCGCAGCTGGGGTCTCCCTCTGGGGCGATTTCCCTGCACTAATTCTCCATACAGGAGATCCTTTGGAATCCGACCATCAGCCATTCTCACAACGTGCCCAAGTCAACATAGATTTTGCTGTTTCAGTAACGTATACATGCTAAAAATTCCAGCTCATTCTAGGACTACTCTATTTGGATCTTGGTCCTGCCAGGTGATACCAAAAATGCGTCGGAGGCAAAGCATATGGAAGGTGTTCAGCTTCCTCTCCTGCTGTGCACAAAGGTCCAGGACTCATTGCAGGACAGGAGTGTGCTCAGGACAGAGGCTCTATAGACCGGGATCTTGGTATACGCCGTCAGCTTCTTATTAAGCCCTACTCTCTTTGTGAGTCTAGAGAACACGGTAGCTGCTTTGCCAATGCGTTTATCCAGCCCAACATCTAGAGAGAGTGTGTCAGAGATTGTTGAGCCAAGGTACACAAAGTCATGAACAGCCTCCAATTCTTGTGTGGAGATGGTAATAGAGGGAGGTGAGTCCACACCCTGGTCCTATCTTTATAAACACTTCTTTTCACATGGCACAGAAGCAGGATACTTACCCATCAAAGTTATGGTAGTCATTCTTTGCTTCCCCCCACATATACAGAAAGGTGAACCAGCTGGAGAATGTCAGAAGCAGCAGGACAAAATATATACACTCCCCCTACAAGCAAGAATGAGAGAAAAGAACGGTAGTTTCATTCTTCCATATAGACCTCCACATAACGTGAGATGTTGTAGAGCAAGTTCTTCCTGTGGTTTCTGCGAAGTACCAAATGTGTCTTAACAGGCCTGTAATCAGTGATGTAGCACACTCAGGTCTCACAGGGTCAAAGCTCCAAGACATTGTGAGTAGCGGGTCCCATGACACCACCCACTATTCAATCAGCATTATTTTTCCCCTCTCTGACCTTCGCCACAATCTTCAGAGTAGCTGAGGGAAATTCAGTGTGTGTTTTCCCTTGAAACCACCCAATCATTGCATGTGGGTGCAATGATCACCCCAAATGTCACACCCAATTTCATAGTGACCTTGTTTAAGACAATCTAGCCCAATCCAACATGGGACAATTTAGCTGTCTGGTCACATCCTAAATTAAATAGGTGGGCATGGCTCAGTCCAGGAACCTGGGTCTCCTTCTAGGAGAAGCTGAGGGTCTCAAGGACCATACTGTCATCTAATTTAATGGTTCGTAGCTTAGTTGGTGGTGCTGCGGGTTAAACCGCAGAAGCCTCTGTGCTGTGCAAGCTCAGAAGACCCACTGTTGTAAGATGGAATCCACGCGACAGAGGGAGCTCCCACCGCTTGTCCCAGCTCCTGCCAACCTAGCCATTCAAAAGCATGTAAAAATGCGAGCCGATAAATAGGTACCACCTCAGTGGGAAGGTCACGGCGTTCCATGTCTAGTCGCACTGGCCACGTGACCACGGAAACAGTCTTCGGACAAACGCTGGCTCTACTGCTTGGAAACGGGGGTGAGCACCGCACCCTAGAGTCGGACACGACTGAACTAAATGTCACGGGCAACCTTTACCTTTACCTAGCTTAGTTGGAACTGCTCAAAGAAGGGCACATTTTAAAACATAGATGGAACTGCTCAAAGAAGAGCACATTTTAAAACATGTAGTTCTAAAATATAGGTTTTTAAAACCCGGATTTTCTTTTTATATCATACATTGCACATTGTAAAGGCCTATGACCATAAACAATAAAAAAATTTGACTGACCGACCTTCTTTATTTTTTTTTAATTTGCTCATTGGTTCTAATATGTATATCGTGTTTCAAATCTGAGACATTTCCCTCAACAGCACTTGATGGCTGCTTTTCCATGTGCACAACTCTTCGCTATTTACTTTCTAAACACTACCATCAATAACTGCATGCCATCAAATCAATTCTGACTATTCAGAGTTTTCCAGGTAGAGAAAACTCAGAAGTGGTTTACCATCCTTGGCTTCTGAGGGTGCCCCTGGACGGTGCAGCTTGCCCAAGGCTACGCAGGCTGACGCACAGTGGGGAACTGAATTCCTGACTCTCTGGTTTCACACCCTGATGTCTGAATATCCAACCAGCTTCTAAAACACTGAAATGTAGTTTATTCCATACACAACCCAGCCCATGCTTTCCCCTTTCCCAAAATTAGATATCTTTCTTCAGTCCTCTAGCTAGGGGGAGAAAAGTAGGATATGAATTAATTACTTCTGTTTGGAACATTCTAAAGCAGTGGTTCCCAAACTTTTCAAGCTGTGCCCCCCCCCTTTTATAATAGCCAGGTAATCTGAGACACACACATCCTGGCAAGTTTGCATTTAAAAAAAGACATTTTTAATGGGGCAGAGGCTTCTTTCTCCCCCAAAGTGCCTGCTTCTCCTACATAAACAGTAACTTCAATATTCTGCTCTGAAAGGCCAAGGAAGATTTTTTTAAAAAACAAGGGCACCTTAAATATAAGGTGACCTGCAACCCAACAGAAAATACTTTGCGATCCCCTTGGGGGGGTGTCACAACCCCCATGTTGGGAGACACCGTTCTGCCGACAGCCATGCTAAACGTTAATCTCGAGAAAATGACTGATCCTCGCCATGTTGCTTTATTGCTAATAGGTTTGCATGGCAAAATGTATGACACTAATGCAATTTCTTTTTGGGATTCTTAAATAGCCAAGCACTCCAGTTCCTTTTGAAAGGACGGGAATTCACCTTCCCACAGCAACACTGGCCTGGCTTGACTGGACGCTGGTACCACTTCCAGTGACAGCTGTAGAACCCAGCCAGGCAGATGATGAAGCACAGATGACCATTCTCCTGGACTAAATGATCTGGGGGGACGCTTTTCGACTTCTCAACACCAGCCTTCTTGAGGATGGCGGTGCTGCTGTCCATTGGCCAAACTTTCTGTTGAGTCTTCGTCCTGAAAGGAGAAACCTGAATGTTTGCTCAAAACCAATCAATCAATCACATTTAACTTTTAAAAAATTAAGGTTCCAGCTCTTCTATGCTTGGCTGGTTAGTTCCTTAGAAGGATATGACATCAGCATTTTAAGATAACCATCCTGAAGTAACATCCCATTGAAATAAAATACTAGCATTTTAAATCAACGATCAAATTACAGCTCTGTTTTTAAAGGGGTGCATAACTGCTTGATGAGCCCCTCACAGATAAGGAAGCCAGAGGAGTAGAGGAGGGTTCAAACTGTTTGCTGAAGAAGCCATAACTTTGTGGTCTCGATAGGTTTTTATGTAGAAATGCATGCCCTGTCTGAAATGGTTTGGTTCGGTCTGAGACTGGTCTGTGTTTCTTTGTGCTTTTAATATGGTTCTTATTATGAGTTTTAATATAATACTGGTTAAATGCTTTTTAAATTTTGTAATAATATATTCTTTGGCTATTCATTTATTTCTTATAATAAGGTGCCTTAGCTCCTTTAGGAGAAAGGTGGCATATAAATTAAATAAATAAATGAATATAGTGGCGCCCCGCAAGACAATGTTAATTCGTTCAGCGGAAATCGCTGTCTTGTGAAAACATCGTCTTGCAAAATGCGGTTCTCCATGGGGAAAGATCGTCGTTGTTTTGCGAAAATCGCCCATAGAGAAACTGTTTTGCGAAGCGCAGATCAGTTGTAAAAATCGCTGTCTTGCAAAAATGGTCCCGAAACACCTGTTTTGCGTGTCGCGGACTCAGCTGTCAAAATCGTCATCCGGTCCCCAAACACCTGTTTTGCGTGTCGCTGACTCAGCTGTCAAAATCGTCATGTTGCGAAAATCAGTCCCCAAAAAAACCCGTCTTGCAAAGCACGGTCCAAAACATTGTCCAGAGAAAATTGCCCATAGGAAACACCGTTTTTCGAAAGCGCTATAGCGATCGCAAAACCTCATTGTCTAGCGAATTAACCGTTTGCAAGGTAATCGTCTAGCGGGGCACCAATGTATGTAAAATGTATTCTCGAAGGCTTTCACAACCAGGATCTGATGGTTGCTGTGGGTTTTTCGGGCTCTTTGGCCATGTTCTTAAGGTTATTGTTCCTGACGTTTCGCCAGTCTCTGTGGCCGGCATCTTCAGAGGACTGAAGTAGGAACTCCAGCAGGAACTCCAACAGAGCATGGACAGAGTTCTGATGATTGCCTGCTACGTCAAAGTGCTGCTGGTCTGTATATTTGTATATTTTGTATAATACACATGTCTTGCTATAAAAGAAGAACGTGTCTGTGTCTTCAATCAATTAACTCTGCATATTTTCGCGGCGCGAACCAGACAAAACACCGTTTTGCGAAAGCGCTATAGCGATCGCAAAACCTCATTGTCTAGCGAATTAACCGTTTTGCGATGTGATCGTCTAGCGGGGCACCACTGTATGTAATTAAAAACATTACTACCTCATACCTTTCCAATCCTTTGGCTTTCTAAAGATTTGGTTTTATTCCAGTATGTATGTATGTAAATATATATATAAAACCACTAATCATGTTGTGGAATCGATTTAGGGATACTGCAGAAGGAAGAGGACTGAAGTAGGAACTCCAGCAGGAACTCCAACAGAGCATGGACAGAGTTCTTACTCCAGTCCTCTGAAGATGCCGGCCACAGAGACTGGTAAAACGTCAGGAAGAACAACCTTCAGAACACGGCCAAAGAGCCTGAAAAACCCACAACCAAATATGTAAAATGCTTTTGTATTCTGCCTTCTCTGGGCAAGAAAGACACAAGGCAGATCAAACTACGAATGAAAACAAATACAGTTAAAACGACAATGGCGGAAATCTAGTGGCAAGTCATTACTACAGTAGGCCCAATGAAGTGGGAGAACTTATGCAGGAGTTCATTTACAAAATCCCCATGATTTAATGGATCGACTTGAATTGTGACTTTCTACTGGATTAAACATTTTAACAGGGACTCTCAAGAGGACATAAATAGGATTGTGTTTCTACATGTTTCCTTCCAATATGAAGTTCTTGTTAGAGAAGGGGACAACCTGGTTTACTATTTAAGTCCATTGTTTTCTTCCAGCGACCAATTAGAAGGTAAAGCACACTATGTTGCAAGATACGGAGTTAAGAAAAAGCATGTGTTAGGACAGATTTATCAGTTGAGGGAGCACCATTTCTAAATACAGTCTTCGGGTATCCCCTAGTTTGACCTTTAGATCATGACAAGTTTGTACATTCACTCAGAAGACTTCAATTTGTCTTGTTTGTAGTGCTGAATTGGGATTGCCACACTTTTTAAGTCTATGCTTTGCTTTTAAAAAGCTTCCTTTCTGTTTTGTAGCAAGTAAATATAACATGCTGGTGGCGTCCGTTCTGGGGAATGCTTCCTATTGAATTTGGTTAGCACACATTCCTCTGTGAAACAGATCACCCTCCATTAGTGTTGTGCAGTGCTTTTTTTAAAAAATGAAAGGGGGTAATCTTCTATTTTAAAAACACATGTTGAAAGATTCTTCTATTTTAAAAATACATGTTTAAAGATTCTTAATATTTGGACCATGTGATTTTGATATCTATACTGATAAAATACAGGTACCAACCCTATTACTTGCCTCTGGGGTATGTGTTTAGATGTGACCGACCACATTTAAAACTTGCTCACTTTGTACTGATTCACAACAGGAGTGTGGAGGAAAATAATTTGCGTCTTGCCAATGAATATACAGGAAGGGAAGACTGCAAGATTAATATTGGGGCTGATTTTATAATGCACATTGACCCATCACACTACTGTTACTGCCTCGTATATGGAGAAAATGTATTTATATGGAGAATATTTGCGTGTGTGGCTTCACTAATTGGGTGGTATATAAATAAAATAAAATTACTAAGAAAAACAGTGCCTTTATCCTTTCCATTTTTGACTCAACAGCTTTTAGCATTAGTGAAATCTGCTCTGAGGACAAATGTCTGGAAAATAAAAGGTCTGTATAGCAAAAACATTTCCGGAGTGTGGGGCTTGTGTTCTTGGACTGCAGCACCCAGAAGACCCTGAAGAAATTTTGGGAGCTGTAGTATAAAAACCAGGAGGCTCTCCAAAATGTGGCCCCTTGAAGACGACCAGGTCCGTTTCGGCGTGAAGTTTCATGGACTACAAGAATCCACTTTTTGTGGATGGTAATTTGTGAAAGTTCTCACCTCAGTACCAAAACACCAACCCACGCCAAGCGCTACAACTCCCCTTTTCCGTTGGCCATGCCTGTCAAAACAGACTCTGTGGAACAGAGAGGTCCGCCATGACGACCTAAGTTTGTGAAACTCAACAGGCTTGAGGTGAACAATTGTGGTTCCTCGTGCGGCTCTCGCTCTTTTCACGAGCCCTTCCCTCTGAAGACTGGGTTCCTCTTTCATTCGGCTTCTTTTTACCTCGTATATACCAGGTGCTAGTCCTCAGCGAGGCCATGAAAGCTCCCTAGGAGCCACACTGGGCCAGTTTCTCTCCCCCCTCCCGGCCTACCTCACAAGATTGTTGTGAGGGTCAAGCAAGGAGGAGGGGGAGGGGGGCAATCATGCCACCTTAGACTTATGGGCGGAAAAGTGCAATTAAAACCTAGTGAACAAAACAAATACATAAATAAGAAGTCCTGTTTCAGAGGCAGATTAGCCACTTCTTGTCAAAGCCTCGTTTCTTAGCAGCAGCAGTGGGTGGGCTGTTATGGGTTGGGGGGCTTCCCTCCATGCCTGGCTTCCCCCTTTTCCTCTGGGTCTTTTTTTAGGCCTCCAACCCCATAGGCCTCAGGCTGTGGGTTTTGGCTCTTGAACCCCTTGGCCAGGGGTTCCTGCCAAGAGGAAGCCACTGGGTTTCGTGCCAAGACTGGGTCAGGCAGAGGGGGATATTCAACAGGTGCAGCTTTAGCTAGGAAACGAGAATGGAAGCCGCCCCCTGTGGGCCTTCCGCCTGCGTTTCACAGCATGACAGGCAGAACCTCCAAGGGTAGAGAGACCTCATTTCCACAGGGGGGTGGGAGGACACCCATCTATATCTCTGTGCTGGGGGCAGGATCAGTCCAGCTTGGGCCCGGATCGGGGTCAAGCTGGGTCACAATTCCCCCGTGTGTCATGTGATCATCAGGAAATATATTGTACTGCGACCCCCTCCACAAGCCGTTCGGATCTATTTCCCTGCAAGATCACACACTCATTGCCTCATAGGACAGTCCCTAAAATACTGTTTTATTGTGATTTTAATGGCTAAACCGCCCGGGAGCTTTCGTGAGGAGCGGCACATGCCCTTGGTATTAAAATACAACAGTATACACGCTCATAAACATTCTGTGTTTTACTGCGATCGACAGAAAATGTGGACTCTTTTGGGTCCTATTATGTTAAGTCCAGAGATAAGGGTTAATCAGAGGCAGAAAACCTGGGTCCCTTCTCTGCACCCAGCCAGTCCTACCTCGAAGGAGACTCAATCCAAAATCTCAGTTCATGTTCTTGCCAAGACTTCCAGGCCACTGAACCCCACAGAGGAGCACCATGTAACTGCCATGGAACTTTCTCGCGCCATCCTTCTTTCTGTAGAGCAAGCATGGATGTTTTTGAAACCTCCGGGTGACAGGTTTTCCCCGAGCTCTCACAATAATATCGGATTCAAAACAAGCGCCCCCCTTTTTTTGCTTCTTCTTATCCATGACAGGTCCCAAGAGATCAGTGCCTTCCTCAAATACTCTCTCACCTCTGATCCTCAATTTTCCCTATCTGTTTTCCCCACTTTATACACCGCATGGATGAATATAATTCCCTGTTTCACATAACATTTCATTTAAGCCAAAATAAAATTGCTGAGAGAGCAGAACACAAACATTTTTATTGGAATTCTAGGAGCAAATGGGTAGCATTTTATTTCTACAGAGACTTTATAGATTTTTATAGTATACAGTACCCCTTTTTTTAACAGGGAAAAATACTTCAGCTAAAAGCTTGGGATAAAAGCTGAGAAATTTTTCAGGCATCCATTGTCAAATATAATCCCAAACTTGAAAAAGGCTGTTTTTTATTTTTACTACATATCCCAGAACCCCCAGTAAACAAGGCCAGTTGCCACCTAGCTGGGGGATACTGGGAGTTGTAGTCCCCAAAAATACAGGAATTTTTCTAAGCTCCAAAGAAGCAAAGGCCAATCTTCTCATGCCTCCTGTTTCATGGTGGCCAAACACACAATGGCCTCCATAAGAAAGGTGTGAAAAGAAATTAAGACTTCCGATACTATCTAGGTAAAGGTAAAGGTTCCCCTTGACATTTAGTCCAGTCGTGTCTGACTCTAGGGCACGGTGCTCATCCCCGTCTCTAAGCCGTAGAGACATCGTTTGTCCGTAGACAGTTTCCGTGGTCATGTGGCCAGCGCGACTAGACATGGAGCGCCATGACCTTCCCACCGGGATGGTCCCTATTTATCAACTCGCATTTTTACATGCTTTCAAACAGCTAGGTTGGCAGGAGCTGGGACAAGCGATGGGGACTCACTCCGTTGCGTGGATTCGATCTCACAACGGCTGGTCTTCTGTCCTTGCAGCACAGAGGCTTCTGCGGTTTAACCCACAGCGCTACCATGTCCCGTTCTGATACTATCTACTCCCACGTCAAAGAAAGAGTCCTCCTTCAAGGATACTGTACATAACTCCTCACTGTGTCTTCCAGTCCTGCCTCTAAGAATCCCATAAGCGTCTTTTTAGTCATTGGGAGAAATGGGATGCTGTACTAGATGGCCTTTTGATTTTTATTCTGATTTCCCCCCAAACGTGGTTCTTCTGTTCTAAAGTTCCAGCCTCCTAAGCTGGACATTTACTATCCTCAGGAGGAAGAGCTATAAAATCTTTCCCTTTAGACTTGAATTTTATACAATGGCCCGCCTTCCTCTAATTTAGGGGTGATCTCTTATGTGTCAACATTTGACTTTCATTCTGGTTCCTAGGTCAATTTGTGTGTGATACAGCGTGCCATTGCCATGTGTACAAATTGCCCTGGATCTCTTGTGTATCATTTCACAGTGATGTCAAAAAAACATTCCCTTTCATGAACAAAGTTTATTTTTTCTATACATTAAAAAAAAATCAAAAGCTTAAAACACATTTAAATATGACATTTTTTTTTAAAAAAAAGGCCACTTGTCCAGGTGTTATATTCTGTATATGGAAACGGATAATCTTAGGGTTTCTTTATATCAACTTTCTGCAAGTTCTCTCTTGAAGAACATGACACACACAACCCATGCCAAAAGGAGTTTATAGGGTGCTCATACCAGGAGAGGAAGAGGAAGAGGAATCCTTCTGACATAGGTTGTATGAATGGACCTTGCATGGCTTTTCCCCACAAGAGAATCCCAAAGATGACCTCAAGGTCACAAAGATGTTGATGTAAATCCTCCCGCCTTCTCTTTTTGCTTGGAACCGAAAAAAGGTCTCTGCCTTGAGTCACAGAAGAATAGGATGGGGGGGTCCTTTGAACTTTTGCTCAAGATAGCCGTGACAGTCCATACCATCAAAGTCCAAATAGCATCCATGAATATCCAAGCAGTGTCCAATTCCTTGTGTATTCCAATTTCCTTTTCCCCAGAACATCATGCTCACAGACGGGAAAAGATCTTCTGCCCAGACGACAGAGAGGCACGCTTGACCACAAAGCTCGTGCGGCAGTCTCTTAAGTTACAATACTCATTTTGTTAAGTTCTGAAAATATATAGAAAGTTGTGTCATTCGTGCAGACCAAGGCATAGAGAACAAAGCACTTCTCCAAAATAATGATGCATAAATAAATTTTATAGTCACACAGAATACCTTCAGTTACAAATGTTTTCACTGTTTACCACTGTATTTTTAATGACAAGTAGAGAGGGGCGCTTCGAATTCGTATATATGTATGGGACAATAAGCTTCTGAAGGACACAATTTGAATTTTGGGGCCCAAAATTTTTCAGTGTTTTTTTTTTTGAAGGGGGGTCTGCAAAGGCTCCTTGGGGGTTGCAAATTGCCCACCCCATCTCAGGTAGATGAGAATGGCAGAAGGTTTCAGTTATAAATTTCAGCTTGACTTTCCCAAACTGCAAATCTGCCACAATTTGAAGAAATCATGGTTCTCTGAGCTCAGCATCGCTGGAAAGAATTCTCTCCTCACCTCCACCAAGAATTGGAAAAAAATGCTTCTATCATGCTTCCGAAAGAGGACAGAGGAGAAGGAATATCAATGGTCTTGGTTTAAACGTCGCTAGTAGGCTACGTCTTTACCAGGACAAGGTTCATTAATTAATTGATTAATTGATTAATTGATTAATTGATTAATTAATTCATTCATTCATTCATTCATTCATTCATTCATTCATTCATTCATTCATTCATTCATTCATTCATTCATTGTTATCCCACCTTTCTTTTTAAAAAGGACCCAAGGCAGCTTACATCATTAAGACAGTGTTTAAAAGCTTAAAACTGTAAATGCACAAAGATTAAACATTAATCAAATAACATGCTAAAACTGGTAAACAAACTAAACACAAAAAAAACAGATTCAAAGCAACAAGACATAGCACTCCATTAAAAACTCCTCTGATAGCCAGTCATGAAGGAAAAGCTTGCTTGAAGAGAAAGGTCTTTGCCTGCCTGTGGAAGGACATCAAAGATGGGGCCCGCCTGGCCTCCAGTGGGAGGGAGTTCCAGAGTCTAGAAACTGTGTGAGAGAAGGCCCTTTCCCACGTCCCCACCGAGAGAAAGTCATCCCCTGATGACCTTAACATTCGGGCAGGCTCATAAAGGGAAACAAGGTGCCTGAGCTAGCTTAGACCCAATCCATTTAGGGCTTTATCGTTTAAAACCAGCACTTTGAACTGTGAATTGCACCCAGAAACAGACTGGCAGCCAATGGAAGATGCTGTAACAGAAGGGTTATGTGATCTATGAGACCAGCCCTAGTTAGCAATCCGAATTGCACCCAGAAACAGACTGGCAGTCAATGGAAGATGCTGTAACAGATCTATGAGACCAGCCCTAGTTAGCAATCCGGTTGCTGCGTTTTGGACCCGCAGAAGTTTCCTGACGCTTCCCATAGACAGCGCAATACAGAGCACATTACTGTAATCCAACTGAGATGTAACTAAGGCATGCATCATTGCTGGCCAGATAAGCCGTCTCAAGAAACAGTTGCATCTGCCACACTAGTTTTAACTGTGCAAATGCACAGTGCAATGTGGATACAATAACAGAACACAATAAAAACAAATGTACTGTACTGTACTCTGAAATTAAATTGAGAACTTGTTGTTAGTATCTACCGGTAGAGCACACACAGTGTATTCAGCAGTGATGTTTTGTCTGTGGACATCCAACATGAAGTTAAACATTTTAATAGCATGTTGAACAATCTTGACAGTGCAAATTAATGGTGTGTGGACCATATAATTATTACGTGCATATCGAGTCCATTCTGACGCGTGCCGATGCTTTCCAAGGTTTTTTAGATACAATACTCAGAAATGGTTTTCCATTCCTTCGTTCTGCTGGCATTCTCCCAAATCCTGGTTCCACGGCCAGATTCTTAACTCAGTAAGCTATCCAGCCCAGATCAGTGGTTTAGTAGTAGAGCTGCTATAACAGCGGGTTTATGTGATCCCTGTAACAGCATCAATTAACTAACATTACACATAGACAGTCTACAAAGACACAGATTTTGCAGGGAATAAGCAAATGTTCCATTAGTGTCTGACTGCTGCCTATTTGTACTGCTTTCACTGTACAGTGGTGCCTCGCATAGCGAGGTTAATCCGTTCCGGATTAACCTTCGCTATGCGAAAACATCGCTAAACGGGTATTAAAAAGCCATAGAAACGCATTGAACTTCGTTCAATGCGTTCCTATGGCTTGAAAACTCACCGTTAAGCGATGTTTCTCCATAGCGCCGCCATTTTCGCGCCCTCGGTAAGTGAGGGCAGGGCGTGAAAATGCGGCGCGGACCTTCCGGCGGCCATTTTGGAACCGCCGATCAGCTGTTCTCCCCCGCTTCGTTCTGCGAAGATCGCTAAGCGAATCGCTTAGCGATCATCGCAAAGCGAAAAATCGCCATAGGGGCCATCGCTGAGCGAACGCTCCAGCGATGGCCCGGACCCCCTCGCTATGCGAATTCATCGCATAGCGAAGCACTCGCTAAGCGAGGCACCACTGTACTTTTGACATGCACTAATAATTCAGGGTTCCATATGTTTCTAATTTTACATGTGCCTAGCCTGTGATTTTAAATATTTGTGATTTAAACTGTATTTTTATAAGAATTATGAGTGGCTGCAAGCTCTCAGGAGGAAGAGAGAGACGTAAGTTGAATAAATAAGCTTTATCGTGTATTTATACTGTGTATTCCTGTGCGTTTATAGTCAGACTCGAAGAGTAAACCTAGCCACACGTAAAAGCATTCTGCTTAGTGTTCTGCTTATATATGTTGCCCCATGGTGCTTAAAGCACTCTCTGGGCGGTTTGCAAGTTAATTATGCAGGTTACACATTGCCGCCGCCCCCCCAGAGAGCTGGGTCCTCATTCTACCCATCTTGGAAGGAGGGAAGCCTGAGTGAACCTTGATCCAGCTGCCTGGGATTGAACCCCGGGTCGTGAGCACAGTTTTGGCTGCACTCCAGCAGTTTAACCACTGCACCACGAGGCTCCTGGAAAATTCCCGAGCAGGACATTTCCTTATTTCAATTAGGTGCTGGACTAGCATAAAGCCAACCCATGTAGTGAATAACTAAACTGGAGCTACTAGTTTCACAGGGAACTCACTTACGGCCATGGATTTATTACTTCACCCACCCAGGCAGCCCATCGGATCCATCTGGACAAGAAGTAGTAGAAACACTTTCCTGCGTTGGCCAAAACTGGCTTGAGGAACAAGGATTTTCTGAGTTGGGTCCCCATATCCATCGTGGTTCTTCAGTCTCAGCTTCATCACATGTGATTCTGGTCTGCCCCTCCAAAGGGCAACCCTGGGCCACACTTCCCTTCCCTCTCCTCATAGTAATACGTACACCTGGTGATGGGTGATGTGAAGTCATCTGAACCAGTTTACCCTGCGCGTTCCAGCAGCGACCAACAAGCAGGAGCATAAAAGCACACGTTTCAACGCCATGTTACTGGTGGGTGTGCCTGTAAAGCTTATAGTGTGACATCTTTAAGACGAGCAGATTTCTTCCAGCAGGGCCCTTTGCAGATTACAACCCTATTGGTTGTTGATTTGCCAGAAAATATTAAAGCATCTGCCACTAGGCAGGTGTTTTAAATTGTTGTTGTTGTTGTTGTTTAGTATAAAAGCACACGTTTCAACGCCATGTTACTGGTGGGTGTGCCTGTAAAGCTTATAGTGTGACATCTTTAAGACGAGCAGATTTCTTCCAGCAGGGCCCTTTGCAGATTACAACCCTATTGGTTGTTGATTTGCCAGAAAATATTAAAGCATCTGCCACTAGGCAGGTGTTTTAAATTGTTGTTGTTGTTGTTGTTTAGTCATTTAGTCAAGCAGGTGTTTTAAATTGTTGTTGTTGTTCTTGATTAGTCATTTAGTCGTGTCCAACTCTTCGTGACCCCATGGACCAGAGCACGCCAGGCCCTCCTGTCTTCCACAGCCTCCCAGAGTTTGGTATTAAATACATGTTGGTTGCTTCGGTGACACTGTCCATCCATCTCGTCCTCTGTCGTCCCCTTCTCTTCTTGCCTTCACACTTTCCCAACATCAGGTTCTTTTCCAGGGAGTCTTCTCTTCTCATGAGATGGCCAAAGTACTGGAGCCTCAGCTTCACTATCTGTCCTTCCAGGGAGCACTCAGGGTTGATTTCCTTCAGAATGGATAGGTTTGTTCTCCTTGCAGTCCAGGGGACTCTCAAGAGTCTCCTCCAGCACCACAATTCAAAAGCATCAATTCTTCGGAAGTCAGCCTTCTTTATGGTCCAGCTCTCATTTCCATACATCGCTACTGGAAAAAACCATAGCTTTGACGATGCAGACCTTTGTCGGCAAGGTGATGTCTCTGCTTTTTAAGATGCTGTCTAGGTTTGTCATCGCTTTCCTCCCAAGAAGCAGGCATCTTTTAATTTCGTGGCTGCTGTCACCCTCTGCAGTGATCATGGAAAGTAAAATCTGCCACTGTTCTAAATTCTACAGGATGCCTTATTCAGCAGGAGCACTTCAGGATCATACAGGAGAGGCCGGGCACTAAGCTGCCTTTGAAAACATGCTTCGGTTTCTTGTGAAAGGATGGCTACTGCAGTGACAGAGCAACTGTTTTTGCAGACAATAGATTTAGCTCCGGGCATCTTGTACCAGGCGAAAGAAGTCTGTGTGGAGGTTGCTAGATGCATGAATAGTCCGACTTGGCACATCCCTGTTCCCTACATACCTAAGTCCCAGAACTCAAACACAGAGCTTACCTGTTTCGAATCTGTTGTAGGTGCCACTCTCAAGGCTTTCAGTACTCTCTACTTCGCAGCAGGGAGGACCCAGCTCCCTCCACCTGGAGAGAAAGGGATCTCATTAGGATCTGTTCTCACCTGCCACCACTCATCAACACCTTCAGTGCTCTGTTTCAATATGAGGACAGAGGCTTCATCTAGAGCAGTGGTTCTTATCCTTGGGTTACTCAGGTGTTTTTGGACTGCAACTCCCAGAAGCCTTCACCACCAGCTGTGCTGGCTGGGGTTTCTGGGAGTTGCAGCTCCCTCCACCTGGAGAGAAAGGGTTATACCACTCATTAGGATCTGTTCTCACCTGCCACCAGTTATTAACACCTCCAGTGCTCTGTTTCAATATTAGGACAGAGGCTTTATCTAGAGCAGTGGTTCTTATCCTTGGGTAACTCAGGTGTTTTTGGACTGCAACTCCCAGAAACCCCAGCCAGCACAGCTGGTGGTGAAGGCTTCTGTCCCCTTTAAGAGGAAAGCCAACAAACTAGAGGACGTTCAGAGGAGGGCAACGAGGATGATCTGGGGACTGGAAACAAAGCCCTCGGGGGGGAAAGGCTGAAAGAACGGGTCCGCCTTGAGAAAAAAGACCGAGGGGAGATATGACAGCACTTTTCCGATATTTGAAAAGTAGTCATGTAGAGGAGAGGCAGGATCTTGATCTAGTTCTCCAGTACAGAATTCTAAGGCCCTCCTCAAAGTACAAACCCCAGGATTCCATAGTTTGGAACCATGACTGTGAATGGGGTATCATAATGCCATGATTTTGTAGTGCAAATAAACTCAAAAGAGTCAGACCAGATCTCAAGGAGGATAAGTATTGCCTGTAATTAACATGTTTCCACTTCAACAGTGGGATCCCCCCCCCCGAGATCTGCTCCCCCCACAACTATCAGATTTCTACATGAAGGAGATTAAAATAATTAAATACATCTACCTCTCTGTAACAAAACAAAAAGCACATTAAATCAGCAGATGAGAGAAAGCAAATGCTGTGACAAACAAATGCCTTTCCTCACTTGAAGGAGCACCAGTTGTAAATACAGGCTAACCAGAGTCGCCAAGAGAGCAAAGTCTCCAGGGCCAAATTACACATTCCATAGTGGGTTGATGATAGCTTATCCCTTGGCTCTCTTAATACGATGGATGAATTTGTAAGTAGACTCGAAGGCGATCTCTTAGGGAAAGGTTCCCCTTGGTATTTAGTCTAGTCGTGTCCGACTCGGGCGCTCCCTCCGCTTACACCTCTTGTTACTCTCTTAATATGATGGATGAATTTGTAAGTAGACCCGAAGGCGATCCTGGTGGTTGGAAGGTCCCTACAATGTCTTTACCCCTCTTAGGTAAAGGTTCCCCTTGATATTTAGTCCAGTCGTGTCCAACTCGGGGTTCTCCAGTACAGAATTCTAAGGCCCTCCTCAAACTATAAATCCCAGGATTCCATAGTTTGGAACCATGACTGTGAATGGGGTATCATAATGCCATGATTTTGTAGTGCAAATAAACTCAAAAGAGTCAGACCAGATCTCAAGGGGGATAAGTATTGCCTGTAATTAACATGTTTCCACTTCAACAGTGGGATCCCCCCCCCCGAGATCTGCTCCACCCACAACTATCAGATTTCTACATGAAGGAGATTAAAATAATTAAATACATCTACCTCTCTGTAACAAAACAAAAAGCACATTAAATCAGCAGATGAGAGAAAGCAAATGCTGTGACAAACAAATGCCTTTCCTCACTTGAAGGAGCACCAGTTGTAAATACAGGCTAACCAGAGTCGCCAAGAGAGCAAAGTCTCCAGGGCCAAATTACACATTCCATAGTGGGTTGATGATAGCTTATCCCTTGGCTCTCTTAATACGATGGATGAATTTGTAAGTAGACTCGAAGGCGATGGCCAAATTATCCATAGTGGGTTGATGATAGCTTATCCCTTGGCTCTCTTAATACGATGGATGAATTTGTAAGTAGACTCGAAGGCGATCTCTTAGGGAAAGGTTCCCCTTGGTATTTAGTCTAGTCGTGTCCGACTCGGGCGCTCCCTCCGCTTACACCTCTTGTTGTTGTTTAGTCATTTAGTCATGTCCGACTCTTCGGACCAGAGCACGCCAGGCCCTCCTGTATTCCACTGCCTCCCGGAGTTGGGAGTCAAGGGTCAAATTCATGTTGGTAGTTTGCACCTCTTAACCTGCCCCAAATTGGGGACAATGAACACAAGGATAAGACATCAATTATCATGCCACATTAAAATAGCAAAATGTTAACCATGGTAGACTTTACCAGTGAATAAGAAAGAAGAGAGAGATGAAGAGAAATGATAACACATCTGTTATGATCCACAAACTCCTGTACTCCTGGGGTGTCTGTAACAGAACAAGAAACCAATCAGTCATTCCCCAAGATCAAGTGGAAAAGAAATACTGGGGGGTATTTAAGAAGCTGACGAAGGGTGGATCTCATTCATTTTACACACAGGGCTCAAATTTCTGATGCCACCTATCCTGTACTTCAAGTACTAATATAAAGATATGAATATGTCTACCTTTTGGATGTTGTGGTTCTGTGAAAACAGTAATTACATCTTAAAATACAGTACATACTTCATATATTAGAGGCCATAGTTAGAAGCCTGTTGGGTTATGCAATCCCACAATGAATGTTAGCTGTGCTGCCAGCTGGTCACCCCATGCTCTGCTTGTGCAGCAGAACATGGATCAGACAGCCAGGCAAAACTGGAAAGGACAGATTCCATTCCCTTCTGGATGCAATGGAATGCAACTAGGTAAGGTTCCCCTTGACATTTGGTCCAGTCGTGCCCGAATCTAGGGCGCAGTGCTCATCCCCGTCTCCAAGCTGTAGAGCCAGCGTTCGTCCGAAGACAGTTCCCATGGTCACGTGGCCAGCGCGACTAGACACGGAATGCCATTACCTTCCCACTGAGGTGGTCCCTATTTATCTACTCGCATTTACATGCTTTCGAACGGCTAGGTTGGCGGGAGCTGGGACAAGCGACGGGAGCTCCCTCCGTCACATGAATTCGATCTTACGACTGCTGGTCTTCTGACCTTGCAGCACAGAGGCTTCTGCGGTTTAATCCGCAGTGCCACCATGTCCCTTAGAGGAATGCAACTAGAGATGGGCACAAACCAGAAAAACTGGTGGTTTATGGTTCATATTTCAACACAACTCCCTCCCTGAAAAACAAACTGGTTTGCGGTTCAGTTTCTTCTCTCTTTTTTTTCTTTTTCTTTTTTTTTCTTTTTTCTTTTTTTGGTTCATGCCAGGTAGCTACTTCTCCACATGCGCCTTTCGTGAACCAAACCACGAACCAGCCCAATTCATCGGTTTTTCTGGTTTGCGGTTTGAGCCCACCTCTGAATGCAACACAGGAAGCAGACCTTTATTTTTAGATTAGCTGTGTTTAGAAATTCATATTTTGGGCAAACGTGGCTTTTATTAACATCTCACATTATGTGGGAACAGGGTTTATGGATAAGCTGCCCCCTCCGCCAAGAGGGAGCCGTGGCTTTCTACTTACCATGAAGAACGAAGGTTGATGCATGTTCCTCAGGTTGTGGATGTCATTGGTGGTTACAGAATGAGCGCCATAGCACCAGGCCAAGGAGAATAGCCACGGCTCGCTGACCACCCAGAGGTTGGTTGTAATGTTGGCCTCCGCGTATTCCCTTCGAAGCAACCACAAAGACCGCTCTTAGATCATTTTCAATGTCCTGCAGTAATGTGCCCTCATGCATTTCCCTTAAGAAACTGAGATTCAGTTTCACAATCCATCCCGAAAGAGGTAGGGGAATCAAAGTACCACATCAACCTACCGAATATTGACATTGCCCATGGTTCTGTAGTTCAAATTGAGTCTCACAATGTTCCGTTTCCGGAGTTCCTCAATGGGCCCCGGATCTGATGTGGTCTGCTGGAAGCCCGGAGCGACAGACTGAATATAGGATCTCCCTAGTTCAGGCAACCACAGGACCTGGGATTTATAGAAAGGCATTATGATATTTACAGTCATTGTATCACCCACCTTCCTATAATTTATTTTCATGGTGGTTTGCTCACACCAAAATAAATCTGTTCCTCTTTAATGTGCTACAATACCGTTTTTTTTCTCGCCTTGGTTTCACTTGTTTGTTATAGCACGCCTTCAGTAAGCCGTATTCTGGATGAACCGATTCCAACTTGTTTTGGGGGGGTAGAAGTAAAGACATTCCCAGTTATGGGATCATCAGAGATCGTACTGCAAATTCTGGGGAAAGGGGGCAAAATCCTGGAGAACGAGGATACATTTCTTTAGGTATCCTTCCTCTGAGGTCACTTCCCAGCTAAATAATAAGGCTAGGCTAAATTCTCTCTGTAGTGCTGGAGGAGACTCTTGAGAGTCCCCTGGACTGGAAGGAGAACAAACCTATCCATTTTGAAGGAAATCAACCCTGAGTGCTCCCTGGAAGGACAGATCCTGAAGCTGAGGCTCCAATACTTTGGCCATCTCATGAAAAGAGAAGACTCCCTGGAAAAGACCCTGATGTTGGGAAAGTGTGAAGGCAAATGGAGAAGGAGATGACAGAGGATGAGATGGCTGGACAGTGTCATCGAAGCGACCAACATGACTTTGACCCAACTCCGGGAGGCAGTGGAAGACAGGAAGGCCTGGCGTACTCTGGTCCATGGGGTCACAAAGAGTTGGACACGACTTAACGACTGAGCAACAACAACAAAATTCTCTCAATATACATTTATAAGCTTAGTAATAATGCTTGGGGAAGGGAAGGTATAAAGCTGTACTTTCCGAAAAGGCACATAATCCAATTTTGTTTTGAAATCATTTGCGATTGTTTAGTTATTTCCACCCACCCACCCTCTGCTGCTGCTGTGCTAGCCACTTTCTGTCTTGATTTAATTTGTCTCAAGTGACCCCAACCAGTCAAGGATCACATCTTGGAAATGATAATGTCACAGGGGCATCCTACACAATCAGGACCACAGTAATAGGAGACCACAACATGGACGCATTCATGGCCGTTTCACAATAATGGCTGAAAACCTGCTGAAAGCAAAGTGCCATCTTTGACTGTGAAATAAAGATTTTCACTAGCCAATACCTTTTTAAATGATAACAACGGGAAGAAGAGGAGAAGGGGACGACAGAGGACGAGATGGTTGGACAGGGTCACCGAAGCGACCAACATGAATCTAACCCAACTCCGGGAGGCAGTGGAAGGCAGGAGGGCCTGGCGTGATCTGGTTCGTGGGGTCACGAAGAGTCGGACACGACTTAACGACTAAACAACAATGGCTACTGTTTGGTGATGAAAAGAATGTGAGCCATCCTTTCTGTTCCTTGTCATCTAATTTGAGGCAAGTTCTTCATGTCTTGCAACTCAACGTTCTGATTTCTTCCATTAGCGAATTGGGGATAAATTTCAAAGCAGGTTAAAGCCAGGGACTTTACCAATCAAGAAATTAACAAATAGAACAGAAAAGGCACTCTCCTTTCTTGCCAAATATGAGTAAAACTGTAGTTTGCGCTAAGCCATATCTCTTTTTTTCGGGCAATGATAGCACGTGATTAAAGATTAATCACCTAGTGCTTGGCCTTTTTAATTTTCACACACATTTATTAATACACCTGCTCATTTTTTTCTCACTTTTGAAAAAAATCTCTATGAAAATTAGACATTTGAGCCTCATGGTGTAGTGATTAAACTGCAGCGCTGCAGTCAAGCCTCTGCTCACCTCTTGAGTTTGAGCCTGAGTTTGAGTAGACATGGTTTAGAGGGGCGGGGTATAAACAAACAAACAAACAAACAAACAAACAAACGAATGAATGAATGAATGAACGAACGAACGAACGAATGAATGAATGAATGAATGAATGATGATCTCAGGCAAGCCAGCTCACGGTTGACTCAGCCTACCATCCTTCTGAGGTCAGTAAACTGACTACCAAACTCACGGGGAGCAAAGCGTTCCTTCCATGATTATGTCGTAAACCTCCCAGAGAGTGTTCTGTCTTTATGGGGTTGTATGCAAGTCAAAACAACAACAACAACAACAACGTTTGTACATGTATTTAGACCTGTTCCTTGAAATATGCTTCTACTGTTTTGGTACAGATAGATTCACTCTACTTTGGTCCACATCCACTGCATGCAGTCACTGGGAATAGACCAAGAAGAGATCCTTAATCCACCACTTAATCTGCTAGATCATCGCTGATGCACTGCATCATTTAGATTAAATTTTTTAAAAATATTTTCTTTGCCTTCGGTACAGCACCAGTTGAAAAATTGTCCACCAGCCGAATCCATAGCAATGTAGTTTCAAAGTACCATCAGCACCCCACCTGAGAATGGTCTTCCCCCTCCTTACCTGTCATCTCTGCTCTTAATGTTTTTTATTTTTGCTGTTCATTATCCAATCCAGCGCTACTCTACTTCCGGGGGGGGGGGATAAAATTAAAAGAAGCCTGTTTCTCCAGGAAAGCAGATTTAAAATATAAACAACACCCAGTTAGGAAGGGGTTGCTGATTATTCAGCTAGGTTTCTCGCAGACTTAACTCTTTTTGTCCCCCTCTTCTATTGCCTCTTCTCCCAACAGTTTTTATTTTCATGGTTTATTGTCCCATTCAATGATATCCATTTTTCCAATTAAAGAAAGAAAGAATATGCTTCCTCCAAACTCTTTTTAGACTGCAGAGACATGGATGACTTTTGAAAACGGGCACAATCGTAACTGTGGTTTTGTTTCTCCTGCCCAAACTACCTTGGAAAAGGACATGCTTGTTTAGAAATGGAAGGATCTATCTAAATGCCATAGCGCACTTCCAATGAGTCTTTCTGAACCTTACTTAGCCCGATCCAAGGGGAAATAGTAGGGATGTGGCGGCGCTGCAGGTTAAACCGCAGAAGCCTCTGGGCTGCAGGGTCAGAAGCCCAGCCGTCGTAAGATCGAATCCACGGGACGGAGTGAGCTCCTGTCGCTTGTCACAGCTCCTGCCAACCTAGCCATTCAAAAGTATGTAAAAATGTGAGTAGATAAATAGGTACCACCACAGTGGGAAGGTCACAGTGTTCCGTGTCTAGTCGCGCTGGCCACGTGACCACGGAAACTGTCCACGGACAAAACACTGGCTCTACGGCTTGGAGACAGGGATGAGCACCACGCTCTAGAGTCGGACACGACTGGACTCAAGGTCAAGGGGAACCTTTACCTTTACCTAACGGGGAAAAATAATTTCCCTGTGCTAGACCCATCCTGAGATGAAGGAAAGAAGAAAGGAAGGGTGACTAAATCTCTCGTACCAAATCAGGTCTGATCCTTGATTCATTGAGAATTACTTCTAAGGCTCGCTTGATCCAATTATTCCGATAAGGATGAAATCTCGGAGGGCGGTACAGATCAAAGATCACATATTTGTTCTCCTGGTCAGCAAAGTCCAAGAAATCGCTGAATTTGTAAATGCTCTGGTTCTTCGCCTCTATCTGATCTTGAAGTGAGAGGTAGGGCATCTCAAAGAATGGCCTTTTCTGAGAAGAAATGAGCAGAGAGAAAAGAATCAGTTTGGAGCCATTGATTCTCAAAATCAAAGCCAGTTTTGTGTTTTAGTTGACTCCCTTGCAGTTAAAAAAGACTGGAAATTTAAACACCCAACTCGCCGTCTGGGGAGAAGTGGTTTTTGCTTATTTACCAATAATATAATTCAACACCAACAAATCACCACCTAATTTGGGCAACCACCCAGAGTAGACAAGTTCTAGATGGGCGGCATATAAATCTAATAAAATAAAATAAATAATTTCTGAAGGCCGCAAGAAAAGAGGAAGACCCAGTATGAGAGGGATTAACTCTCTAAAAGAAACCACAGATCTGTGTTTACTAAGAGCTGAGCAGAGCTGTTAATGATAGGACATTCAGAAGGTCACTCATTCATAGAATTTCCACAAGTCTTGTGAGCATGTTAAAAAAAGTTTCTAATCATTGCCAGCAGCCTCTGCCCAGTGGCTTAATAGAAGAACTTCTTAACCACAGGCTTAAGATGGGAAGGGTGTTAGGGAATATACGTAATCTAGGGACCCATACAGGTTTGGGAAGTTAATACAGTGGTGCCTCGCTTAACGACGATAATCCATTCCAGGAAAATCGCTGTTAAGCGAAAACATCGTAAAGCGAAATTAAAAAGCCCATTGAAACGCATTGAAAACCGTTCAATGCGTTCCAGTGTGCTAAAAACTCACCATCCAGTGAAGATCCTCCATACCACAGCCATTTTCAGTGCCTGTATAGCGAGGAATCCGTCCCTAAGCACAGCAGGGAGCCATTTTAAGCACCCGGTGGCCATTTTGAAAATCCGACGATCATCTGTTTTTGATCGTTGTAAAGCAAAAATCGGTTCCCGAAGCAGGGAACCGATCGTCGCTAAGTGAAATTCCCCCATTGAGACCATTATTTTGTGATTCCAATTGCGATTGCAAAAACATAATCGTAAAGTGGATTTGTCGTAATGCGGGGCAATCATTAAGTGGGGCACGACTGTATTTTGAATTGATATGGAGGTCCGTGTATGCATGTTCTTTCATGGTTGCAATAGGGAATAAGATCCCTTATCCATGCTGCTAACGACAGCCCAAAAATAAAGGCAGTCATGTTGTCCTGTATCAAAAAATTAAACTAGTCCGAGTGATTATCACATCAGTGAACAGGTCTTTTGTCAAGCTAATAGGTTTTCATTGTCCACCTGAGATCAATCTAACCTCTGTATTTGTAAGTCTGCAATTGGGAATCTATTTCAACACTTGGGTTCAAAAGCCATTTGGGATTGAAGAGAGAGGTTGCAGGACAATGGGCTCAAGTTACTGGAAGCCAGATTTAAGTTGAATATCAGGAAAAACTTCCTAACTGTTAGAGCAGTACGACAATGGAACCCATGGCCTCGCGAGGTGGTGATGCTCCAAAACTGGAGGCATTCAAGAGAAACTTAGACAATCATCTGGCAGATATCCTTCGATTTGTATTTCTGCAATAGAGCAGGGGGTTGGATTTGATGGCCTTTTAGGCTCCTTCCAACTTCACGATTCTATGATTCTAAGAATCTTTTTGTAAGTTCCAAAAAGCATACCTCAAAGAACCAGTTCCCGGCATTCAGGTTTTTCAGAAATGACCAAGGGAATATGGCAGCATCTCTATTCACAACCTCAGGAGATACGGACTCAATGTCTGTGGTTCTTCGTAAAGTTTTGTCATGCATAAGGAAAGGTACACCGTCGTAGCTGTAAGAGAGGAACAAAATTCAGGAAGCTCTTGATAAGCTTGAGCACCGGGCTGAGAACAACAGAATGAAATTCGACAGGGATACAGGCAAAGTTCTACGCCTAAGGGAAAAACAAATCCATATATAGATACAAAATGGGGGATACTTGACTCAGTAATACTACAAGCGAGAAGAATCTGGGAATTGTTGCTGAGCACAAGCTGAATATGAGCCAATAAAACAAAAAAAGCAAATGTGATTTTAGGATGCATTAACAGGAGTAGAGTCTCCAAATCCCATGAGGTACTGGACTTCCTGTATTCGGCACTGGTTAGGCCTTATCTTGAGTTTTGTGTCCAGTTCTGGACACCACGCTTCAAGAAGGATGCAGACGAATTGGAGCAAGTTCAGAGGAGGGCAATAAGGAGGACTGGGAGCCTGGAAACCAAGCCCTAGGAGGAAAGACTAGAAGAAATGGGCATCTTGAGCCTTGAAAAAAGACGTCTGAGGTAAAATAGGATAGCAGTCTTTAAATATTGGAAAAGGCTGTCATACTGAGGAGGAGAAAGATCTGTTCTTGATCATCCCAGAGTACAGGGCATGTCATAATGGGCTCAAGTGACAGGAAGCCAGATTTTGGCTGAATATCAGGAAAAACTTCCTAACTGTTAGAGTAGTACGACAATGGAACCCATGGCCTCTAGAGGTGGTGAGTGCTCCAACGCTGGAGGCCTTCAAGAGAAACGTGGACCACCACCTACCAGATGTCCTTTGATTTGTACTCCTGCCTTGAGCAGGGGGTTGGACTGGATGGCCTCATAGGCCCCTTCCAACTTCATCATTTTATGATTCCATGATTCTGCGTTGAGCTTGGAACGACACAATATTTGCTCACTCTCTGCCCTGCATTCTCTCTAGTTTCAGTTTTCAGAGGGAAAACTAGCAGTCAAAGTGCAGTTGGTACTCCCTGGTCTGCAAAGCACTTTCTCGGACTCGTCTTTGGATGCGATCATCACACAGGGTCACACAGAGCATCCTTGCGCAATAACCCCGTGTGATCCGTTTCCTGGCAATCGCGTGACTTATGGGGGATGGTGCTCCCGCCCAGCCCTGATCCCTGCCCACGTGACCCCTTGTTAATCCAGCTATAGGGGCTGCAACTCTGAGGGGGGGCAGGTTGGAGGTTGGAGCAATTCCCCAGCAGACAGAAGGGTAGCTTCAAAGGGAAATTGCTCCCATTAAAGCAATTTCCACCACCGTCAAGGAGGAGTTGCAGGGTAAATCCACTCTGACATGCGATGTTTCAAGGGGCTGTCCAAGGCAATGAAGCTATTTCAGCACCTTCAATATCTCCCATAAAGACTAAATCCTGGTTTGGATTACCTGCCTTGAGTCACCGAAGACGTTGTACAATCCTAGTGTTGCATCCTGGACATAAATGTTTCGCTTATTTTAACAACTACTCGCTCCGCTTTTCTTTCTTCCTTCTAATTATGCATGAGGTTGGGGCCCCAGGCTCATAGGGTGCCTTTCTTCAGGGGTGGGGACCCTGCCTAAAGGCGACCAGATCTATGCTTCCTCGGATCTGGACGACGGCTTGGTTTGGACTGCACAATTTCATTTATTTCTTTAGGACAGTGTTAGGGTACCTATCTGTTACACACTGTGTTCTCTCGGCAGCGTGTAAGTAAATTAAAAACGTAAAATGCCATACAGTAGGACTCCCATATCTGCGGAGATAAATTCCAAGCCCTCCTGCACAGGCTTTAAAAATGTGGATTATAGCAAATGCTATTATAATCCCGAACGCTATACATAGTATGGCCTCTGGCTCCCTCTAATGTCCAGTTCTGGTAACTTCATCATTACATTGATATACCGCGTTTCCCCAAAAATAAGACAGGGTCTTATACCAATTTTGGCTGCAAAAAAAGCATTAGGGCTTATTTTCAGGGGAAGTTTTTTTTTTCCCATGCCCAACCATCTACAAGTCATGTCAACTTCTTCTGGTGGCTGCACAAGTGTGGAGGGCGGTGTTTCACATCACTGGGGCTTATTTTTGGGGGTAGGGCTTATATGACGAGCATCCTGAAAAATCCTAGTAGGGCTTATTTTCAAGTTAGGTCTTATTTGGGGGGGGGGGGGAGAGGGGGTATGGGGTTT